GCTCCAGCTGAGAGTCCTGCCGTGTCTGAGGCTCCGCCGCGCCGTTCTCATCGATGCGACTGCACGTAGCGGCTAACAGTGCTAGCGGTGATGGCTGCTGCGAGTCCTGCAGAGAGAAACAGCCTCGTGAGACACTCTGACACACACATGCGCACGCGCACGCGCACACACACACACACACACACACACACACACACACACTTGGAGACACGTCAGCTCAGAGATGAAACGTGCAGCATTGGAGAAACAACACAAACGCCGGAGCGCCGCTAGTGCTCAGAAGTGTGTGTGTGTGTGTGTGTGTGTGTGTGTATAATCACAGCACTACACCCTAAACTGTATTTAGTGTATTTAGTGTTCACTCAGAATACAGCAGGCAGTGTAGTGTGTGTTCTGCAGTGGGCTCTCCTCGTTCGGCACAGTGTGGACTCTCTGTTAGTGAGCAGTTCAGCTGTTATGCTGCATTTGATTAATTAACTGTTGAACAGAGCCTTCACTGATATAATCATGACCCTGATGAGATGATTAGATCACAGTAGTGTGAACACTGCTCTCCACTGCCTGCAGGAGTGATGGATGTGGACCTCTCGCTCTGCGCCGGGACGTCAGCATCTCATCAGTGAAGCAGAATCACGTGGTCATCGACACACTGAATATTCCTCTCTTTAGACCAGGGGTCACCAATCTCGGTCCTGGAGGGCCGGTGTCCCTGCAGAGTTTAGCTCCATCTTGCCTCAACACACCTACCTGGGCTGCGTTTCCCAAAAGCATCGTAAGCCTAAGAAGTTCGTAGAAATGATCGTACGACTGATCTTAATATTACGGTCTGTTTCCCAAAAGCATCGTAACTTAAGTAGCACTTGAAAATCTTAGTGGATCTACGAGTGCTCTGGAGTAATCGTAAAGCCTTAAGTGCATCGTAAGGAGACAGAGTTATGAGGGCACCTGCTGGACAACCGGCAAATTGCACCTACAATTTACTTCTCTTCAAAGTCATTATTCATTTTATTTGTACGTATATCTCTATTCATTTATATTTTCTACACATTACACAATTCAATATACAAATAATAATGAATAAAGAAAAAAATAAAAATTACATAATAAATGTTAGAATGAAAAAAAAATTACACTGTTGTATATGGACATTTCGAGGGTAGTAGGCTATATTTTTGTCCTATTAGCAAATGCACATCAGGTGGGGATAATTAGGCTAAACTTTTCAAAAATAAATGTAAGAGCTTATTTATTTATTTATTTATTTACTTATTTATTTATTTTGATGTGAGATAAGCAATTTTTGATAAAGAAATTGATAAATAATTCTACTTAATTAAGGTTTCATATAAATATCGAAAATGATGCTGATGTCATTTCCGGCAAGGACTGTTAGAATTAGTTTTATGCGAGATTGGAGCAAGACAGTGTTTTTACAGTACGACATTTCCAGTTAATTTATGTTTTTAAACTGGCTCAAAAATATTTTTTTTTATGTTATTCGAGTTGAATATACATTCACACAAGTAGAAGAAGAATTATATGGATTGCTATAACATGTGCAACAATAACGAGCCATTCTATAGCGTGACATTTCAGCACTTAACAAACAGATAGCGACTCCTAAGTTGCACTTAAAGCTGGGCTACGTGCAATTGTGTTAAGTGCATTTTTGGGAAACGCACGTGAAACAATAACGAACGTTCGCAAAATGACTCGTAGAAAACGCTCTTAAGTGCTAAGATCAATCGTTATCGGGAAACGCAGCCCTGGATGTTTCAAGTACACCTAGTAAGAGCTTGATTAGCTTGTTCAGGTGTGTTTGATTAGGGTTGGAGATAAAAATCTGCAGGACACCGACCCTCCAGGAACAAGTTTGGTGTCCATTGCTTTAGACGATGTAGGAACGCCACGTTAATGTTCATTCCACAGCTTTACTTGTGTTCAAGCCTTACAGCAGGGGTCTCAAACTCTAACTGGCGGGGGCCGTGTCAGTGACTGACAATCCATAGCAGAGCTGCTTTAACACTCACACACAAGAGCAAAGAGGAGACCCGACAGAACTGATGATCTGAACACAGCAGACCTGTCAGCAGCGATGATGCAGAGCAGCAGGACACACAGCTGCTGGAGTATATCCCTGTGTGTGTGTGTGTGTGTGTGTGTGTGTGTGTGTGTGTGTGTGTGTGTGTGTGTGTGTGTGTGTGTGTGTGTGTGTGTGTGTGTGTGTGTGAAGTGGAGTTTAATCTGCTATAAAATACTGCAACTAACAGACGGAATCATCAATATTCTGTCCAGACCAACTGCACTGAGAACAGCAGAGAGCAGTCTGGGTACGTGTAGTGACGTTACGGGTAAGGGTTCTTCTCAATGTCTGAACATGTTCACACTCACTATCACACGATCAGTCCAGCCAGCCGGCGGTGCAGCTCCACTAATGCACACTGTTCATATGCAGACCTCATTACCACATGAGGAAACCCTAATAAACTCTGCGTCTGGATGGAGCATTGACTGCACAACACTGACAGAGGATCCTGTACACTCACACGTCTATTACTGATCACACAAACACTCAACAGATGATCCACAGCGGCCAGCTGAGCCCAGATCAGAGATCCGCGGACAGAGGAGATTCAGAAGGGTAGCACAGGAGAACACCCCGCTGCTCACACACACACACACACACACACACACACACACACACACACACACACACACACACACACACACACACCCCTCCTCTGAGTGGCCAGTGTGCGCAGATGCTCTTCCTGGTTCTCCTCTCCCTCAGAGACCGGAAGTGGCGCGGACTCACCTGTGTGGTAAACTCGGGTATAAACGCGCTGCTCACCTGCGCCGAGCTGGAGCTGCTCTTCTGGGGGAAGCCGGGCTCTGAGTCCGCCATGGAGCTCTTCTGTGGATCTGACACACACACACACACACACAGTGCACACTGATCAGGGCACAGACAACATCACTATGTAGTGCGCGAGACAGTTAGCAGAGTTAGCCGAACACGCGCCATATTCACTCTCACACATCAGCTTTAGCCCTGTAGCTCATCAAAACACCAATATTAGCCAAAACCCCCGAGTGTGTGTGTGCGTGAGTTCCGTCGCATACATGATCACATCACACACACTCCTGTTTACCACTCTTATATAACTCAATGTAGGTCGCTGTAAAGATCACTTCAACTAACGCTAACGCTGGAGATCTCGGCTAACTTTAGCTCACTTGAGGAAAATCAGCTCAGAGTCCGCGATGGAGCGCTTATAAACACTCCTGATCACTCAGCGGCTCAGGAACAACACGGCTCAGTGTTTTCGGCGAATCAGTTCAACAACACACACACACACAGACACACACTGCCCGCAGAGTCTCGCGCCGGTTACAGATGGCACTCTGCGGCGTTCATAAGCGGATTTCAGCGCTACTCACCGCTCATTCTGTGCGAGGGCGCGAGTTTTTCACGCTTCTTCAAGTCTGACATGAACTCTCAAACAACTCAACCGAACTTGATGAACAGAAAGGCCAGAGTCAAAGCGGCGGAGCGACGAGCCAATCAGAAGACGAGTCGCTGTGGCCGCAGCCAATGGGCTTCTTCGGTTCTACTCTTGACATTTGGCCGTTCAGAATACTTTCTTATCATCCAGTGTGCGAGTCTGAGATACTGAGAGCCCAGCTGCGGCCCGAGTGTGTGTGTGTGTGTGTGTGTGTGTGTGTGTGTGTGTGTGTGTGTGTGTGTGTGTGTGTGTGTGTGTGTGAGAGTGTCCTTAGTGCCTCCTCTCCCTCTGGATCAGCAGGTTCTCCAGCAGGGTGTTTTCTGAATGATCAGTCTAATAACACACACATGACGCGTCCACAACCTGTCTCAGACACACACACACACACACACACACACACATTGACAGCATGAGCATCTACTCTTACGTTTTTAATAGTGTTTTAATCCAGCTGCTCCTCCTTTACAGTGAAATATTCAGTATTAATCAGAGGTATAGCGCTGGATTACAGTAATGCACAGTGGACTGGAGCAGGCAGATGAGTTTACCTGTGCTGTAGGTGCTCTCAGGTGATGGCGTGACCCATAGCAGTCTCGCTCACTGCCTGATCTGATCTGATCTGCTCTGCCTCCGTCAGTCCTCCGCTGATCTGATCACAGCAGGCGTCTGCAGTGTGTGTGTTAGTCTGGTGTTCGGCTTCTCCAGCCGCTGGTCTGATGATGCTTCTCCATCTCTCTCAGGCTTCCTCTCATCATCCTGTGCTAAACTCCACAGAGAGCTCCGTTTCTGAACCACACACACACACACACACTTGCTCACATTCGACACAACCGTGAAGATGCTGTTTTCCTCAGCTGCAGATGCTGTCTGGAGAAGTGCAGTCTCCTACAAAGCTTGAAGATCAGGTGAAGATGCTGTGCAGGGCTGTGTCGCATCACAGAGGACGGACTCCTGCTCTTCACTGAGTACAGCAGATTAATCCGCCATGCAGTCAGCGGCTGCTCTGCGGGGTGTTCTGGACACGGACAGCAGCACCTGCTCATCTCCACAGCGCTGATCCTTTTATTACTGTTATTGTTTGATGAAGCATTTCCTTTAGATGAATGTCGTCACTTGTGAGTGTGTGAGAAGATCATGAAGATCTGACAGAAAACCGGCAGCTGGAAAACAAACGAACAAGCAGACGGTGCTGAAGTGCTGTTCTGACACTGGCGACACGTCCACATGCCGACAGAACAGTGACAGAACCCCCCTCACAGTCCAAACACATGCGCTACAGGGGAACTGATCAACTACATTAGTGTATGAGCATGTGTGTGTGTGTGTGTGTGTGTGTGTGAGAGAGAGAGAGAGAGAGAGAGAGAGAGAGAGAGAGAGAGAGAATGAGAGTGTGTTTCCCAGTGCTGGGTTGCAGCTGGTAGGGCATCTGCTGTGTAAAACATATGCTGGATAAGTTGCTGCCGGTTCATTCCGCCGTGGCGACCCTTGATTAATAAAGGGACTAAGCTGAAGGAGAATGAATGAATAAACAAATTAATTAATCAATCAATGGATGAATGGCTGGAGGATGGACGGATGAAGAACTCTTACTGCAAGTCTAGATCCGCTCACAGGTAAACAGAAAACTGACACAATTGAATGATCAACAACACGATCAGGACTCTGAGTTTCTGCACTGAAGAGAAGAGTCGGAGATCTGAGCAGCACAGAACCGACAACACCGAGCAGAAGAGCAGGAGGAACAGGTCAGAGCTGAAACGCATCTGCTGTGAGACATTCCCACATCGCTCCACTACCCGGAGGAGGAGAGAGAAAAACACAAAAGAGAAAGTGTGTCCACCAGGGGGCGCTACAGGACAGGCAGAACTCTGCAGCAGAGCCTTCAGGAGCTCAGAGAGAGTCGGGCGATGAAGAGAACTGCAGCTGAAGACAGATCTGACCCCGCACACAGATACACTGACAAGAGGAAGCTGCAGAGCAGCAGATCCACCAGCAGGAGGCGCAGTGGAAACAGTCGAGGAGTCTGTCCAAACTCATAAGCTGCGTCTTAAATCTCATACTTGAGCACTACTCTACGCCACTTTATAATATTAAGAGTAGAAGTAGTGCATTCATACTTACATGCCCTTTATTCTAAACAGATGAGGCGGTTCATTCTGCTGTGGTGAGCCCTGATTAATGAAGGAACTAAGCCGAAAAGCAAATCAATGACTGAATGACCATGAAGAGGACTTCATAACCCAGATGATGCTCTTCTTCAGCTGCTCAACACAAGTGTGTGATGTTCAACACTTCACACTCAACACACGCAGATCTGCTCTCATAATACAAGAGAGGCGACTTATAAAAAACAGCATAATTTCAGAATAATTCAGTATTACTGCAACACAACTGAAGAACAGCTACTGCCACAGTACTGAAGTGATACTGCTATGATGAAGTACTGCTTCTGCAATACAACTGAAGCACAACAACAACAACTGCTGCTGCTGCTGCTGCTCGGTGGACAACAGTTTCCTAATGAGGTTTCAGTACTTCAGTTCTATTGCTGAAGGTCTACCCCAATACAATATGTTGCACTTTTCAGAAGTGCAACTACAGAAATACATCTACAATACTGCAATACATCATAAATCTTAATACTTCTGTACCCAAGTGCAATAAATTCTATACCATATCCCTGTATTGTCCCTCAGTTTACTTCATGTTCCTTCAGTTGTGCAGTTTGGGTCAGGGCCTTGTGCAGCCGGCCTGCTTCTGCTTTGTGTTCAATTAAACAGCTTTATTTGGCCGTTTGGTCTATTCTTGTTTACAATCACAGTTCCTGCACATGTCTGAGAGATTATGCAAATTCACTACTCATCTATGCTGATGAACTGGATTCAAACAACAATACACTTAAGTAATTTGTCATGCGGCATCACGGTGGTGCAGTGGGTAGCACGATCGCCTCACAGCAAGAAGGTCTCTGGTTCGAGTCTCGACTGGGTCAGTTGGTGTTTCTGTGTGGAGTTTGCATGTTCTCCCTGTGTTGGCGTGGGTTTCCTCCGGTTTCCCCCACAGTCCAAACACATGCGCTATAGGGGAACTGATGAATAGAGGCACTAAGCACCCCTGTATTAGCCATAGGCTGGACCGTCCGGATGACCTGCTCCTCCTACCCCTATTCCTGGCCAGATTCTATAGTGCTCACTCTACGCTATCCCATAATGCACCGCGGGAGAATTCATGACTGTGAGTAAAGCAGCGCAGGTAGGTCACATGATGGGGATAAATAGCTGATGTAGAGCGTCTGATATACATTCATACTACACACACACACACACACACACACACACACACACACACATGAAGATGCTTCAGACGTGTGTGAAGGGCATGTAAAATCAGACTGGAACACAAACATGGATGCAAACCAAGGCTGCGTCTGAAACCGGCTGCTCCTCAGTGGGAACTGCAGTTGAATGTAACGTACGACTCGGCCGTTGGTGTAGTGCGCTCTATACAGTATGAATGTCAGCATTATGAACTCAGATGTACTACATCCGCCATATTGTCATGATCACGTTGTCTACCCGCGTGAGTTGTGCTGCTTCACTCCTATTCATGAATTCTCTCACGGGGCATTATGGGATACCGTAGTGTCCATCCGATGCGCACTTCAGAATCTCCCCTGAAGTAGTCGGTCATCTGGGCGCTTCTCACATCCTGACTCTCTAATTCTATCAATTCAGACAAACTACTGATTTTAGCGTACTATAAAGTTGGGAAGTATGCGATTTCAGACGCAGCCCAAGTGTGTGTTTCCTGTTGATCCTCAATAAAGCTGAACGCCTCCTGGTAAATCCACACCAGACATGCACAAATGGCGGATGTGTTATTGCCATGATGAGAAGAAGAACAGCAGAAGTGAACGTTCACTGAACACGAACACACCGAGCCGGCTGACAGATGCGTCTCTGCTCTTCATCTGCAGATGATCTCCAATATTTATGCCAGTCATCATGAACTGATAATTAAGCTGCTTTAATTTATGTTTTATGAATTTTCCGTAAAAGTGAAGACAAACCCACTCCTGAAGCTCATATTATATGACCAAACAGAGATGCAGCATCCTTTTATTTTAGAAAACAAACACAACAAAAGATGAAGCAAACACCGCACACACACTGATGGCAGGAGAGCTGATGCGCTCGACTACACGGCTCTTCCCCTACATCTAAGAGTGCATCCAAAACCAAAGAGAGAGGATAAACAGCATCTCTAGTGTACAACTTTAAACATTGGCATTCAGGAAAACTACAACAGCAAAATGAACACAATACTACAACAGTGCTTAGCTTTTCCACTATCACATGCATCTGTTTTCAGTCTACAGGATGAGACCGACTGAGCTAGCATTAGCAAACGGCGATTTCAGAAAGAGGCATGAATGGGGCAGACGCAATGACATCTCATTGATCTTACTTGATTGTGACCAGCGCACAGTCTGGCTTTGTCCTGATTCGAGGCTCTAGTAAAGACTGCTCTCTCTGTGATTGTTTTGTCCAGCATGAGGTAGCTTCAAATGTAAATCCACTACATGAAGGGTCTCTAATAAAGTACACTAAACAGGCTGCCTTAATAGGGGTTAGGGGACTGTAGAATGAAAAGCTAACTGTAATGCGCGCACACACACACACACACACACACACATATATACAAACAAACAATTAGATGTCTATTATATATCAGGCTGTTGTAAAAATCTGCAAGGCATTCTGAAAGATTAGCACCGCTGATTATGCTTGAATGCGCAGTGATGTACACAGACTGTGGCCGTGAGAAACACCAGCACTCGCATATGAAGGCTCAGGGTGGTGTAAAGTCTGTGGGAGTTGAATGCTTAATACGGGGACTGTCGCTGATGATCCTAATGACAGGGGAATAGCACCTTAACAATAAATAAATACGAAGACTCTTCTGCTTCTGTCTTTGCTCTGGTTTCTCCCTCATACACCGTTCTGCTGTAGATGGAGGTGGTCCCGGAGGGTGGAGGTGGGAATGAGTGACAGCACAGTCACAGGTGAAGACTGACACTGCCTATCAGTGCATATCCTAAAAATACGTTCGGAAGCACTTCTGTTGTCTATCATAAAGATGTCCCGCTTAAAATGTCTAGTTCTTTAGTTTCTCTCTTTCTTTACTCCTCACTCTCAAGTGTGTGTTTAATCCGTCCTTCTGTCTTATAAGAAACAGACGGCTCCTACATCCACTCCGAACTCCTGATGTGCTCCTCCTATATCCACAGGGGCAATGTCCACAAGGGGCAGGCGAGACGTCTTCTGGGATTTATACTCAATGACGGTCTTGCTCCACTGTCCTGTGTGTTTCTGTGGGGACAGAAGACGTCAGCGGTTAGTGTGCATTCTACTGCGCAGCTTTTACAGCCATTTCTCTGTAAACACGAGTGCAAAATCTTTCATTCATTTATTTCTTGCATTCATGCAATTCCTGATTCCCCAGTTAACGGCATCCTCTCACCTTGCATCCGTCCTCCAGAACGCTGTAGGTGAAGCGGCTGTTTCCTTCCGCCCGGATCTCCACATCATTGGATCCGCGCAGCAGCAGAGCCTTCTTCAGGTTCCCAGAGGATTCGTCCATGTAGGCGATGCTGTTCCTGCAGTGGTAGGTAAGGTTCTGCGAGGCTTCAGTGGACAGCAGTCTGAGGAAGGTCATCTGAATACTGGCTGTATTTGGCGACAGATTCTCGTCTCCATAGTTAAACTGTGGTCACAAAAAACAGAGAACTCTTAAGAGGATCTAAGAATTGAAGGACAGTTCTGAAGATGGTCCTGAGTTCAACCAGAGGGTCAGCAGGACCAGAAAGTAAAATAAAAACTCACGTGGAATCCTCCATTCATGGCTTCCCCAAACCAAATGTGTTTGCGATCCCCACCCTTCGTAGTCCACCAGTTCTTGCGTGGGATGTTGGCAGGTTTGGGGTAAATGCAGCTCTCGCCGGTCTCCATGTTGCAGAACACTTTGATAGCATCGACGGTGCAGCCCTGGTTCGGGTCAATCCAGTATTCGCCTGCAGAGAGACACAGAACTCACTCAATGCCACAAATACACAGAACACAAGACAGAAGACAATCCTTCATCACGAGTCCGGCTCACCGCTCTTCCAGTCTGGGTGGCACTGCTTCAGGTCTCTGCAGGTCCGGGCCGGGCTCTTTTTGGTGCCATCAGGCCTGCGGATGTTCTCCATCTGGTTGTTCAGGGATTTGAGCGTGGCATCCACCTCTGCATCATGCTGATGGTTACCATCTGCGGCCTGGTCTGCCCTCATGTACCTCAGGGGATCAGGAGACTTCTCAAGCTGAGACAGACCAGCAAAGGCTGACATGTCGATGCCAGGTCCCGGAGGGCCAGGAGGACCAGGGGGTCCAGGAGTTCCAGGAGGACCCTTTTGGAGAAGCAGTGTGTTTTCAACATGTCTTTATATATCAGCAGAACATTAAAGACTACACCTGGAGATGCCACAACAGTACACCTGTGAAAGGCTAATCTTACATGACGAGCTGAGCAGTGGATTCAATTGGGTTTGACTAGAACAGCGGTCACCAACTTGGGTTCTGGAGAGTTTAAGGGGTAACGAAACACCAAAACACACTTTTTGAGCTGTTGACAGTCGTATATGTGTCCCACACAGCTAAAAACACTATTAGGACACATAAATCTCACTAAAAAGTGAAAATTGGTTGTTTTTGCGTTATTTCGACCATATTCGTACTTTTGGTTTGAAATTAATTTTTGAAGCTGCGTCAGGGCCATGACATCTTAGCCTGTATTAAATTGTGTAGACTGGACGTCTGTACCTGGGAGTGCCGTATTACGTCTGAGTGTGCTGCATTAATAAATGGGTAAGGCTTGGTTCAAACCAATCAGCGCGCTCTATTGTGCAACTTCATTAATATTCATTAATGTTACAGTGTTCAGACGGCAGAGAGACGCCACGTTGTGTTGCCAAAACAAGCGTGCAGTGTTGCTTTTATGATTTGCTTTTGTTTTCATTTTCTCTATGAGAGCGCAGCTGGACTCACGTGTGGATTACAGTGCATACGATGCGAGACAACAATAAGTGTCTAAGAAACATTGTTTACCCGAGAGCTTTTCTCATCTGGAAATGGTGAGATCCGGATTTGCTGCTTGTCTCCTCTTAATAACGACGCGGCTCTAGTTGCTGGTGATTGTCCTGGCTCTACAGATTTGGTAAGTGAGCGACCAGTGCTCTTTGTATATTCAGATAGCAAAGTTAGTTTGTATCCAACTAACTCTTACACCGAGTGTAAACATGTTAGCACCACAATCAAACTTCACCACATTTTCACCACATTTTGTACACACGACTTCCTGCCGAGTACATCTAAGTTACTGGAAAATGCGGAGGGGTTTTTCTCTCATTCGCTGTGCGGTAACAAACATTGCATGAAAAATACACACTTAGAGCAGTTCCTCGAATCAAATATCTCATTTGTCACGAGGGGCATGGATGAATTCCCTGAATGAACGAGCCAAACTGCAGTTAAAGTCCACCCTTTAATCATTTGGCAAATAATTCGATTACTGATGTCCATGTCCACTTTCTCCCCTGCGTGTGTGTGTTTTGAGCACGTGCCCAAATTGACACTCCCATTTTTATGCAAAATTTTTACAGACCCTCCCTCTTTTGCTCCTCTGACACTCCCTCCTAAACAGAGCTGGACACGCCCACTTTCCTGACTTTTCCAAAGTAGAGGTGTGAAAGGTGTTTTTTTTTTGGTACTTACTGATGGACCAGTCTCCCCAGAACGACCACGGGGTCCCGGGGGTCCAATGGGTCCAGGTAAACCGTTTGCTCCATCTTTTCCAGCTGGACCGACAGGGCCTGGGGGTCCCTAAAAGTTGTTGAAAGGTTAACACTGGACCTTAACACTGCAGAGCACACCCTGCAAAAATCAGTCCTCATGCAGACTTATCATTAATATACATACTCTTGCTCCACCAGGTCCAGAGGGTCCAGAAGCACCTTGATCACCAGGTTGACCCTGTGTTTGGAGTGTAAACATGCCTTTGAGTAATCACATTACATCTTACATTTGTACGTCATTTACACAAAATGAGTGCAAATATGAGCGATGTAGGCACTTACAGGAGACCCAGGCAGACCTTGGAGACCAGTGAAGCCTCTGTGTCCTTTCTGTCCTCTATCTCCCGAATCCCCAGCTTCTCCTTTATCTCCACGCGGTCCTTGTGGTCCCTGTGATTAATGAACATGGCTTACACATTAATTCTGAAGGTCTACACTGAATTAGGAGTGTATATTGACAAATGGACTGCTAAAAGCAGAATTTGAGTTTTAACAAACAGACTTGATAATGAAGAAAAATGCTGTAATTACGCCAGAATGCTATTAATTTCTGACATGATAGGTACTCACAGGCATTCCCCGAGCTCCAGCAGGCCCTGGAGGTCCAGAAGGCCCATGGGGACCCTGCAGTTGAAAGGAATGAGTGTGTCATGTGCCTTCCTCATTAAATGTCATCATTAGACTTCTCATTACGATTAGAATAATCTTTTGGAAAGAATAAGTCCTCTTTTCTGTCATGCCATTTTCTGAGACATTGTTCCATTGTGCTCAAGTGTTTGGTTGGTGGTGGGTTTTTAGTTGTTGTTTGAATGAGAACAGTGATCATTCTTGATAATTCTACCATAACATCACTAATACATACATTTTATTCTACACGTCATGAAGAGCTGTAAAAATCTGTACTTACCGCCTCTCCTCTGTCTCCCTGTTTACCAGTGGGTCCGACTGGACCAGGAGCACCAGGACCCCCTGGAGCACCAGGAGCTCCAGCTGGACCCGTGTCACCTCGGTCTCCCTGAACAGAACACAGACCGATCGTCAGCAAGCAGAACTCAGACTACACCATGGTCATTACAGTTAGTGAAACCAGGTCTACATATCCTCCCTACCTTTATTCCAGCAGAACCATCTCGACCAGGAGGACCATCAGATCCAGGATTGCCCTGCAAACGATTTACGCGACATGAATCTTGCATTAATCCAGCTCATGTATGTGCAGTGTGTGTGAATGTCTTCATCTATTTGGTTCTACTCTAGTGTTTAAGCTTCTGGCAGTGTAAGAGTTCTCCAGGAGCATTGATGAACACAGGAAGTGAACACTTACGGTTCAGTCATTCATTATTTTACACACCTGATATTATTAGAATAATAATCGGACACATATTTATTCAGCTTTAAGTCTATCTCTTTTGTAGTGAAAGGTAAAATGATGTCCTTGTCATTGTTCTCTAACCCTGAACAGTCAGATGCTGCAAGGTATCATTTCATTCTTAAACATCATGTTTAAGTCTTATTAATTAGTGAATCAGAAGTCTGGTTAGCCGTACCTCTCTCCCCGGCTCTCCTGCAGCGCCGGTCAGACCTGGTGCCCCTACAGGGCCAGGAGGTCCTCTGTCCCCGGGTCCCCCAGGAGCCCCCTGCTTACCCGGCTCACCCTGCCATGGAGATCAGCAATACAGTGAGATTAACAGCCACACATGCCTGTGTTAACATTATTTGTCCTTTGCTATTTATTGACAGTAAACTCAAGGCATGATCGCTCCCATATTTGACCTGACATTCAGTTTTTGGTGGATGAAAAAATCAAAAGCTTGAAACAGAAAAGGCAGAAGCGCCTCCGTTTCTGGCCCCTGATGCTTTTGTCTGTTTGTCACATTCACTGGAAACTGAACAGCTGGCAAAGATGACGAGAAGGAAAATCTGAAGAAGAGCTTATGAACTGTTGCTCAGGCCACGGGCCATCAGAAATGTTGATGTATTTCATCATTAGTCATTAAACATCAGTATGTTGATCTGGAACTCACGGAGGGTCCAGGCAGGCCGGGGAATCCTCTTTCGCCTCTTTGTCCTGGAAGACCAACGATACCGCGCTGACCGGCCAGACCCTGGGGACCTGCGGGACCGTCCGGACCCTGGAGGAACAGAAGAAACACTCATCAACACACTGCGGTCCAACAACACAAGCTGAAAACAGGACAGATCATCCTGCTCGTTAAGGGCAGAAGGTAAATGCAGATTTCCTGAGATCTGAGCACAGTTCTTCAGTCTAGCAGTGTTTGAGGGACAGGAGAGATCAGTTTGTAGATGGGTTTAATGTCAGGAACCGCCAGCTGCTCAAGGGCACTCAGTAGTTTACACTCAGCTGCTCATATCTGTGCACTTTTCATTTAATTAGCAGGTTTTCATCCATTGCTTTCACTGTTAGCGTCTTTATTATCTGCTTTTACAGTCAGAATCATGTTTACTGAGATCCTGCAGTACGTACGTGAGGACCGTCTTCACCAGGATCTCCCTTCTCTCCTGCAGGACCAGCCGAACCCCGTAAACCAGCGTCTCCAGGTCTTCCAGGAGGACCACCGTCTCCTCTGACACCCTTTGGCCCATCTTTACCAGGAGGACCAGCAGGACCGGCTGGACCAGGGTTACCCTGAGAATAAGAAAATTAGAAACATGATGGCGGACCCAGTGAAGAACACACAGAGGTTTCTCTGATCGCCCTCATGAATGTCTGTCAGAACGTTGCTCATACTCATCAGATGTTTTACTCCACACTATAGATGTGTTTTGCTTTCTATTGCTTTTCTTACATTAGGACCAGGAGGTCCAACTCTTCCAGCGGCTCCGGGGAAACCCGTGGCACCCTGCAAACATTTTAAAAATGAGCATTTACTTATCAACACATTAATTTATCTGCATGTCCTGTGTCTACTTGATCTTGTACTTACAGGAGGGCCTTGAGCACCACGAGCCCCTTTTGGTCCAGACACACCGGTTGGTCCCTTTAAGAAAAAGAGGAGTCCAGTATTAAGAACTACAGAACTGCTTTAGGGTAAACATCACCATTTCACATCACGGTTCAGAAACAGAACAATTACGCTGATGTTACCTGCGGGCCCGGAGCTCCAGAGGGCCCCTGAGGGCCCGGGGCTCCAGCATCACCCTTCTGTCCACCTTCACCCTGCTCTCCTTTCACTCCCGGCTGTCCATCTGCACCCTAATACATACAGAGCAAAGCAGAGTTTCTGAATGACACATTATACAGCAGCTCTGAGGCCTTCACTGTAGGCAGATATCAGGAAACTCTCATGTGTGTGACTATCAAAGCATTTGCTGAACTTACTGGTGGACCAGCAAAACCAGCAGGACCAGGAGGGCCAGTCTCTCCTCGGTCACCCTGCCATAAAAATACAGAAGTGTTTGTTTTATTGTGTCATTCCTGTCTGGCATGCACAATACTGCTGTCAGAGCGTTATGAAGCATCTAAACACAGACGTCTTCAACACAGATCAACATGAGCCAGAGATGATTAGCAGGGTGTGCTGTAATCATGTCAGATGTTTTAAGCAACGTATGAAGAAATAAACCCAGCATAAGAAGAAGGTTAAACTAAGTAGATCAGTTCTGAAGTCAATATGTTTAATTGTACTGCGGACTTTGTTTAACATACACGAGATGTAAACGAGATAAACGACAGAACAGGACTGACAAACACTCACAGGAACACCGCGAGTCCCCGCAACTCCAGACGGTCCCGCGGGTCCCGATTCTCCCTGAAAAATGAGTGAGGATGATCAATGACAGTGCAGATATTAATATTAGATATTAAGTTAATAGATATATCTTTATTTAGTAGATATAATACACTGATATCTTCAGTACCTTTTCACCGTTGGGTCCCGCAGGACCTGTTGGACCAATTGGACCCGTTAAACCCTGTAAAGACACAAAGCAGCCTCTTCATGCACTGGTGTTCATGACCTTTAGCAGAAATGCTGAATAAAACTCTTAATGACTCTCACACATATGAATCCACAACATTCATGCAGAACTGAACTCACAGCAGCTCATCCACTGGCCGATCACTACAGCTGACTCTCTTTATTTAGTTTGACTGAAGTATTTTATATACTGCAGACCAACACAGGACCCGCTTTACTAAACATTAATATGTGAGTTCTGTTCATCATGTTGGCCACTGAACAGACACGCCGGCGGCGCTGCACTGTGGCCAGATTCCAGCTTTATTTGGAAAAATGAACATTAAACAGAAGCTTTAATCTTTCATTTCATTCATAATGACTGGACCAGCTCTTCAATGCTGAAGCACACATCAGATGTTAGCTGAAATTAGTTAATGCTGTTTAGAGAGAACACACACAACACATCCTGAAGGTGACACAAATCCAAGATCAAGAGAATGTTGAAGGTTTGTCTGATGTCTACTGGAGGAACAGAGAGATGTGGACTCTTACTCTTGAGCCGTCTTTACCCGGAGCTCCTTCTGGTCCCTTATCTCCATTATCGCCCTGTCAAACACACACACACACACACACACACACACACACACTCCAGTGTCATAACGGATGTACATCACAGATCCTTCATCTAAAACCTCTAATATTATCTTTGAAAGAGCAGAATTAGCCGAACCCTAGCCTGTGTTCTACACGCTCATGTCCTCTTCTAGACTTCACAGTAGCGTGTGTCTTCAGTTTACGTATTCGAGTATTTTAAAGTGACACAGGTTTCACAAGTGACTTACTCGGTCGCCCTTTGGTCCTGGATTCCCAGACGTGCCTCTCTCTCCGGGCATTCCCTGCAGTCCTGGAGGACCCTGAGCTCCAGCTGTCCCCGCGGGTCCCACACCACCCTATAGACCACCACAGCATTAGAGACCGCCGCTCACACAAGTCAACACACAATTAAACAACCCTTTGTGTAGTTTTATTTACCAATATTTACAGAGACACTTCATTTCTAAACTTGTGTCCACATTTCCAGAAATATCACAGAACACTCAAATCTTCTGACGGGTGTAAAGGCTAATAACCCTCCCTGAGACATGAGATCTCACACTCCTCCTCTGGCACCGATACCTCACCTCATCCAGGTTCCTCCAGCGGCAGTGTTTCCGTCGTCTTTGCAGCGTGAGAAATGGAGAATGAGTCTTTATTCTTGCACACAGAGCAGATAAACACAGCTACAGGCTCAATCACTGACGAGCACACAGCCCTGCGTTAAACTGCTGTTTCACAGTCAAACCTGCAGTGTGTGTGTGTGTGTGTGTGTGTGTGTACGGTGTGTGTGTCGGTGTGTGTACGGATCTGCTGACCTTGGGGCCGTCGGTTCCTGGTGTTCCTGGTAGACCCCGGGGCCCCTGGAGCCCCTGTGGCCCAGCACCGCCTCTCTCTCCTGGGAACCCTCGCTCACCCTGAGGAGCAGCAGGAGTTTAACATTGGAGAAAACACACACACACACACACACACACACACAGATGGAGAAAAGAGACTCACTCGGGGTCCGGTAGCCCCTGCCCCTCCGGCCTCTCCAGGAACTCCCTGCATGAGAAACACACAGATTTCACTACACACACACACACACACACACACACACACACATCTGCATCTGGCGAAATAAACAGTGAGTTTCCTCTTGTTTAAGTCAGGAGGATTCTGGATCTCTCACCTGATCTCCAGGTTTACCTCCCTCACCGGGGGGCCCCGGGGGTCCAGGCAGACCCTACAGACAACAAAAGCACCAATCAGATCCTCAGTGGACGCCACACTTAATTAAGGAGATTAGTTCAGTTGGTGTGGAGGGACACTCCGAGGCCCATCTGCTGATCTCACTGTCTCTCACCTGGAAGCCTGATGGTCCCGGCTGTCCCTGCTCGCCTCGCTCTCCCGCAGAGCCCTATGAACATCACACACACACACACACACATATATTTATGAGCATCACACACAGACTCATGTGAACATCACACACTCAAACATGCGTAACACACTCACGGCAGGTCCTGGAGGCCCAGCAGCACCGGTCTCTCCATCTTTACCAGGCAGACCCTGATGAGGAAACACACACACACACACCAGAAGAGAGAAGGGAGGCGTTAGTGAAGGGTCAATTATGAGAAAGAACAGGACACAAACACTCCTGGAGAGCGATGATCAGCATTATCAGTGCATGTGCGCACACTGTTTAATGTGTTCTTCACTATGGTGGTGGTCATTTCAGCAAGAGCAGCTGTGAACCTGATCCAGGCGTGTGGTTTATGTCAGACTCTGATATTTAGATGCTCTACTATGATC